AAGGGAGAAATAATACTTAGCACTTAGAATTGCATCTTATGGGAGTCTTTAGCTAGTGAGATATAGATTGGAGAACAAAATGTTATTAATAGCAGTGGGATGCAATTATTCTTGACCAATGGAAGATGCACTGAGTGAATAGGAGGTTGTACTGTTTTATGCTTGGCTTTGCATAGCAAGGCCAGTAAAGAAGAATGAGTGCTAGAAATGATCTCAGATTGAAAGGCCATGAGTTGATTCCATTTATCAAATGGAGGGGTAAACATATGTGCATCTGTAACTAAGGTTTTTGCTTTCAAAAGTCTAGTCTTTGTGTGTGGGCAGACAAAACAATTGTACCAATTCATACTCCTCGAAGTAGAACCCTTATGAGCATGTGTCAGCCAATCTGCTCTGTTTCATGCGTCTGCTGTAGTATGTAAAATTTAATCAGAAAGTTACCAGAAATATTATAGTTTAGTTTCCTTTTACTCTGGGATAGAGCAGAAACATACGCAATTAAAATAGATCAGCTGATGTATGCTCATCGTCTTCTAAATTGGTATATTTTTTAAAAGCTAAGAGACCTAGTTAGGAAAATCAGCTTGACTGGAGAGATCCAGGTTTTGAATATGGAGGAGGTTTGGAATTTATTTAAGTACAATTTGCAAAAACTTTCTGGAAATATTATTACATACAAAAATTAAATAAAGGTGTTGCAGGAAGGGACTCTAGTCCTAGCAGGATGACTAGCCAATTCAAGAAGGAAATTAAGAGTAATAACTAAGGGAGTTTCCAAGGAAAAGAAGAAGATTGTTTAGGAAGGAAAGCTTTTTTCTTATAGGTAGGAAAGTCTAGAGATAGAGACAATCACCTAAAGTAGAGTTGCTCTAGACCTTGTAAAGGATATTAAAACAATTAGTAAAAAAAGAGTTTAGCTCTGTAAATAAAAGAGAATAAGAGAAGTAGGACTGCAGTGCAGTTTGGTTGGGGGAGTGATTGAAGAAAATCTGCATAGGATCCAGAAAATAAAATGAATGTTGCCTCAGTTTTCAATAAAGGTGCTAATGAACCTGGGAATATGGCAAAGGTAGGATGACTAATGGAAATTAATATCTAGAAATGGAATTTACCATTTCTGAGGTAGAAGTAGAACTTAAAGTGTAATATAATCAAGTTGATTGTAGTGGCAGATTTCTGTCCCAGACTCACTGAAATGGTTGTTGCCTGAAACTGCAAGTCTGATAGCAAGGATTTTTAATACATCTGTGACATTGAAAATGATTCCATATGCTTAAGAACACCATGCACAGTAACTTTATTTAAGAAGAAGATAAAAAATTTTCTGGCTAACTGCAGACCTGTCAGTTGGACCTTAGTAGGATGCATGGCTTTAGAGTGGTAGTGCTCAAACTTTTTTACAAGGGGCTAAAACTTAAAATCAGAAATAGGCCAATGGCTACATACTAGCATTAGTTCCATTCTTTGGCAAATCTTAATATTAAGTATTTTAAATCATATTAAAAATGAAGAAATGCATTATTAGTAATTTTAGGTTTATCAGTACGAAGTAAAAAGTTCACTCTTCTGTAGTATTTTAAATTTATAAAATAATTCAAGTTTAGCATAATTGCAGAAATAAGTAATTGATTTACATGCAAATGTGGCCTGTTCCCTCATTCTGCTTGCTGAGGGCATCACAGGGGGGAGAGGCTAAAGGCAGAAAGGGTTATGGCTGTCATCCAGGCAGTTCTTATAGATGGGTGTAATGGGCTGGGAAGGGGGATGGAAGGTAAAGGGTTAAGGGTCCGCTAAGGTATATGGCAGAGAAGTTACTGAAACCGGCTGAACTGAGGTTGAGTGGTGAGGTGCTTGGCTCAGTGCCCTGTGCAACAGTAGGGATGGATTTTGATGGGCCATTGGCTTCTATTAGCCTGCAGGGAGATTCCTAGTGCTGGCTGTGGGATTGTAGGATCTCAGGCCTATGGGAGGGAAGGACAGATGCAAACTGCCCAGCTGGAAGCACTGTATCTTAGCTCAGCATCTCTTGCTTCCTAGTGCCCTAATAGCGTCTCCTGAAGAGAAAGCTACATGGTGGGAGTGGGACTGTCCTCTGTCCCAGAGCAGTGACACTTTCTTTGAAATAATTCTTTTGTTTCCAGGTGCTGTCTGTACCAGAGCCATGTAGGTGTGCATTAGGCTGACAGAGATGGGCCTCCAGCGCCTTTCCCCTTCCGGCTGCCAAGCCCTTCCGGCTTTCACATGGCTCTAGATCCCAGGGTGTGAACACTGCCACCATTTGCCTCTCCTTGCACCTGCTGAATTCAGCAGCAAGGGAAAAAAGGGGACAAGCAGAAACATAAGTCAAGTGATTTGTTTCCCATAGAGATAGGGAAGTATTAATGCCATTGTGTTAGGTACTTAGGATATTTTCTCTGGGATATTTTGAGAAAGGTGGAGGCCCCTCACAAAAGATGAACTCAGGCTAGAACAGGTAAATTAGAAGAACTATTAGAATTATTTGGGAAGGAAGAGCCTGTCTTACAAGAGGAGTTTAAAAACAGTTGCTTTTTTAGCCCACAAAATATGAAGGCTGAGAAGAGAATATGATTGTTCTCTATAAAAACATTAGGGGAATAATTGGCAGGGAGGGAGAAGAGCCATTTTAAACTGAGGGATAATATTGGCATAAGAACAAAAGGGAAAAACTGGTCATAGATAAAGTAAGATTGGAAATTAGGAAACAGCTTCCAACTATCAGAGGATGTGAACTGTGGAACAGGAGAAGTAAGGGTATGGACAGGTGTTCATTTATAGTGCTGCAAAGTATCTCAGCACATTGTAGCACTATAGGCATTCAAACCCCCTGGCTGCAGAGCTACACAGTTGCCTCATAGGCAAGCTCTTCAGCGGTGGGGGGTGACTAGGCATGTCTCCTTTGATCCCTCTGCCTCAAGAGAAGCCTGCAGTGAGATAGCCATGGCAGTTAGGGCTGTGCGAAGCTTTGGCCCCTGATTCAATTTATCTCTGAATCTGAATCGAATCAGGAGACCCTTTATTTCTCTGAATTGAATTGAAACCCTCTGAATTGATTCCGAGAGATTTGGAAAGATTCAACAATTCAGGCATAGACACAGCTTCAAATGTTTTTTCTACATACCTCAAGGTACCAAGCAGCTCATGAATGCTGGGATGCTGGGGCACATGGACTCTCCCACAGAAGTGTAGGGGTGCCCCCAGTGTGCTCTGCAGCAGACCCGGAAGTGAACCAGAAGCATTTCCCATCCACTTCTGGGTCTGCTGGGGAGCATGCTGGGGGGGTCACCCTGGCTCGGCCACTGGTGCCTCCTGGGTCTGGGGGGGCACCTGGGGTCCCCCATGGCTGATTGCGAAGCCAAGGGCCATGAGGGGGGACCCCCCACGCACTCAGCAGTGGACCCAGAAGTGGATTGGAAATACTTCTGGTCTGCTTCTGGGTTCGCTGCCGAGCATGTGGTGGGGGGGGAGGGGCATGCTCCTGTAGGAGAGTCCATCCACCCGACCATCACAGTGTTCACAAGCCGTGCCTGGCACCTCGAGGTATGTACAAAAAACATTTAAAGCTGTGTCTATGGCCAAATCGTTGATTCTCTGAATCGGCATCGAATCTTCAGATTTGGCCAAATTGGATCAGGGACAGTGATGCGAATCAACAAATTGAATCACTGTCACTGATTTGGGCTGAATCGAATACTGCCCATTTCGCAGACACCTAATGGCAATAGCTTATGGGAAATCCTGCAAGCCCCTAGTGGTGCTGCCATGGCTGCCAGAGCACCAGTATTAAGAAGGACATCATTAGGAGCTAATATTCTGACCCCAGTGGCAGAGCCCCCTGTGGTGCCACCAAAGTGGCCAGAGTAACTTAAAAGGCTTGGTGCTCTGGGAGTCACAGCTGCAGCAGAGTCCCAAAAGGACTTTCTGACAGTTTACAGCCGGATGGACTTTCAAGAAGCCAGCCACTCTCCCAAAGGATCCTAGATACAGTTTTGCATAGTGCTTACAAGGGTATGGGCACTGCATGAAGTGCTACAAAATCATTACTATTTTGTAATGTTTTCACTGTCTTTGTATTGCTACAAACAGCTTGACTGGCTGAACATTCACTTCCTATACCACTAAAGGGTGCATTTAGTGCTACAGATATAGAGTCATAGAGAACTTGAACTGGAAAGGCCCAACCAAGGTCATCTAGTCCAACCCCTGCATGAGGCAGGATCATCCGTATCCAAACCATTCCATACAAACCATAATCTGAACTCTGCATAAGACTACCTTCAACCCTGACACAACCTAGACCTAACACCCTAATCTGTCACAGGTAAAGCATGGGAACCATGACATCCAATGTCCTGCTTCTATAAAATGTTATCAATATATGCTCAGGAGGTATAGTTGTGGTAGAGGGCCATACCCCCTACTACAGAGGAAGGCAAAAAAATCTCATACCAATATGATGACCATACCAATCTGACCATGGGGTAAAATTTCTTCCTGACTGCAAATATGATGATTGATCTGACCCTGAGTAGAAGGGGAAGACTCTCCAGCCAGGAACCCTGTCTTTGATCCCAGCAGAAGCATTGGTACACCCTAGTCAAAGTCCCCCCAGCCCTGGCTGTAGCCAATACCCAAATGCCTATGGGAAGGCTTAAAAATGCCCTGATACATATAATAGAAAAGGTGTGGGGAGGCAACCAGCAAATATGATACATGCCCATGGCTGAAGAAACCCTTTATTGTTTTAAGACGGGGCTTTATCATTTCTGGAAAGAGTCCTTCCAGCCTTTGTTTTTATTAGTGGAGCAATTATGATGTCAGATGGAAATTTCAAGTTAGCCAGACTGTGGTACATGTTACTAGATAGTTCCCTTCTGTGATGATAAAATCTGAATTTTGGTATTTGGAATGGAATAGTCAAATGTTAACTTCTGAAGGTACTGCCTTTCTTCCAGCTGTAATCTTGTATGTCTTTTTGGCAGGCGATATGCTTGACCTTCTCAAATGGCGAACCCATCCAGACAAAATAGCAGGTTGCCTCTCAAAATTAAAAGAAATCGATGGTTCAGAAATAGTGAAGGTACATATTATTGTCATCTTATTTCCTTTGGAATAAGTTAATGTGACAGAATAAATTCCTTACCGTTTACACACACATTTATTTGATAACAAACTTTATCTTTTGATTCTCATTTCACTCATAGTTTCTTCAAGACACACTGGACACTTTATTCGGGATTTTAGATGAAAATTCTCAAAAATATGGGTCTAAAGTATTTGATTGTTTGGTAAGTTTTTTTCTTCATGGCTTTGTATAATCATTGTTACTGAAAAGGTATTTGTTAATATTGAAATAAGACTTCTAGAAATAAGGAAGGGCATTAACATTTTCCTTACTTTTTTCTGATTAGGTTCACATAATAAATTTGCTGCAGGACAGCAAATTTCATCATTTTAAGCCAGTAATGGATACTTACATTGAAAGTCATTTTGCAGGTGCACTTGCGTACAGGTAGGGTCTGAGCTTTCTTGCCTATTTTGAATGTTGACAATAATTGGTACCAAGCACAATCAGTCTTAAAGATGAAGTAAACTTAATATAGGAAGAAATGATATCCAATACATATCTAAATCTCCAAAATTAAGTCCAGTAAAAGAATATCTCAAATCATTTTAAATTATGAGAGAAACAGCTTCTTTGCCTTACAATTTTAAAATATATTCTATTTTTGCAACAAATAAAATAGATGGAGCATAGGCATGAGCATTAGATTTGAACATTGATCAAAAAAAAATGCCATGCTTCTGTATTTGAGCATCCTTCCACCTCTCTGTTCCAAGCTAGATCTCAAGATTAGAGCTTGTTGAAATATTTTTTAGATTTTGAGCTTTAATATGAGTGGAATAAGTCATAGGGCATAAATGTAAACATGTGTAAACCTTCTCAGGATCAGTGCCTAAGAAGAATTCTAGGCATCTAGAATACAAATATCTGCATTTATCTGAGACATTACTGTATATGAAGTTTCAGATTGTTAAAAGGACTTGTTTACATCTAATGTGAAAGGAAATAATCTCAACAACCTAGCACCCCTAACACTCTGGCAATCTACTGCTGCTAGATTGACTTTGTGTGTTGTACTACATAATAATGAATATCACTTATTCTTCTACTGTGTGTATTCATTACTTACCATATAAGTATTGATTAGGTCCAACGGTGTTTAATGAGATCACAACTCAAAATCAAAAGACTGCAAAGAGAGTCAGAGCTGGCAGAAACTGCCTTTAGTGATTTGCTTTTATGATTTAAATCAGGGATGCTCAGTCCCAGGCCTGTGGCCAAAATCTGGCCCGTGGCCAAAATCTGGCCCACAGAGATCCCCACAGGTTGGAAAATTTGGTGGTAGGGGATATGTTGAAGCTCTATTTTTCCAGATCCAAACCCCACTCTGCCCCTGCTTCCCCAGGTCACTGCTGCACAGTAAGATGGGGCCAGGTACACCTCCCACATGGTGAGATAGGGCTGGCTGCTACCTGTTACCCACCACCTTGCATGTCCAGAACGAACCTAGGCTGTTCCCCGCCCCCCTGTGCAGTCAGATCAAGCCCACTGGCTGGATCTGGCCCATGGATGGACCTGGCACTTCCCATCCAGCAAAAAGGTCAGGCACTACTAGTTTAAATGAGCAACTTGATCAAAAAAGCTGGTTTAGTGGCAGAGCTATGTGCAAGTGAAAGCTTGGGCCTATAATTATTACTATAATGCTTTTACAGTTGAGTACATTCCTGGAAGAACCTTTGGGTTGCAAAAACTTAGAGACTTTTTCTCTGCTTGTTTTGCAGAAGTTACTTGTTTATATTTTTAACCTGCTAAATTTTTATTAA